AGCGTCGATCAAGTCTTTAACGTGGTATTGGTGATAGCTAAGTGGGCGTTGTTTTTTTCAAGGTGAACTTAAAATCCGGAACTTGGTCTTTTGCGGCCTTTGGCATTTCCAGAGCGGTATCTTTCTAAGACATCTCCTCTTTTCCATCTCGTATCCTCAGGACCGAAAACTCCCTATTAATAACCACCGGTAATAGAGATATCCACCAAAGGTAAAACTTCTGCATTCCATCCATCCCCTCTAGGGTTGGTGCTTCACTGATCGCCCCTCGCTTTTACCCGAGATCCACCTGTGCGATCCCTCCGAGCTAAGCTAACGGTATAAGTGGTTCTGGGACCCGCTTATGCGAAATGCGAGATGCGAAGTGCGGTAAGCGGAGTGCGAGGTGCAAGTCAGACCCCGTCGCGCCGCCTCTACCATCCATATAATATTCCCCCATTGCCCTAATGGCTTGCATACTTAAGGCAGACTTCGATTGGTTTTACTTTTGTTTTCTATTCAATTCTCATCTATCCTTTGTTGGCCTTTCGCCCTACCCTCTCTTTGCAGCGCAATCCTCCCTCAACCTCTTCACAATGGCCAACAACCCCTGGACTTACGACCCTAGCCCTGCGGCTGCCATTATTTTTCTCCTTCTCTTCACCATTGCTACTCTTTGGCATGCGGTTCTTCTCTTTACTAGAAGAACCTGGTACTTTATTCCCCTTGTCATTGGTGGTGCCCGTATGTCCCCTCCCTCTGCACTCGCTTCTGCCGCTAACCATTGCAACAGTCGAGATTGTCGGCTATGTAACACGCTATCTAGGCAGCAGAGACCTCGAAAACCTCACGTTCTTCATCATTCAGGCTCTTGCCATCCTCGTCGCACCCGCTCTCTTGGCAGCGTCCATATACATGGTCTTAGGCCGACTGGTGGTCCTCGTCCACGCAGAGACCTACCTTCCGGTGCGGCCAACTTGGCTGACAAAGATCTTTGTCGGCGGAGACATCTTATCCTTCATCATCCAGATCGCCGGTTCAGGCATGTTGTCGAACAACTTTAGCTTGGGCAAGGCCATCATCCTGGTCGGCTTGGCCATCCAGCTCATCTTCTTCGGCCTGTTCGTGGTTTCCGCCGCCCTCTTCTATCGACGACTCGACGCGAACCCAACACCGACAACCTTTCGGCTAGATGCGTGCAGCAGCAAAGGTGGATGGAGAGGAGTGATGCACGTCCTGTTCTTGACCAGCGCCTTGATCTTCATCCGGTCCGTTTTCCGCTTCGTCGAGTTCACAGGAGACCACGATTCGCCCATGATGACTAGCGAAGCTTATATCTATGTCTGCGACTCTCTCTTGATGGTTGGTGTCATGGCAGCTCTGCTTTATCTTCACCCATCCGAGTACATTCGGGCCCCCAAGGATATGAACTCGTTGGAGGGAGAGGAACTGTAAGAGACAACTGGAGACAAAATGGTGAAAGCGATAGGGTGCGAGACTGCATATGCTCATGATAGACTTTTAAAAATATCGGGTCAGGGGAAATGTGCTGGTGGGGGGAGGGTCTAAGGCTTTTCTTTTGTTTTTCTTTTGTCTTTCCTTTTCATGCATTTCCATAGATTTGTCACTCGTCAAGCATTAATACAACACGCGAAACATTATAGACAGCTCAACAACAGCTCCGTCAACGCCTCACGACCTTGAACATGCAAAACCATCTTTGGCAATACTATGCAATCTTCCCACTCCGAGCCCAGCTTTTCGGCTATAATCTCCATGTCGTGGCTGACAAGTCCATCATACACCCATGTGCGAGGCAGCAGGCTGAACTCGGCTAAGTAATGCGAGAGGATCACCAACGCACATGGCCTCTCTTGCCGGACCAATTCCAAAAACCTGGGCTCTACCACATCGAAGGCCCACGCTTTGAGCTGCTTTGCGAGCCATAGCTGATCTCGGGGGCACTCCAATGCTGTGATGAGCCGGCTCACCTCTGTCGCGGCTCTGTGGAGAGTGTCAAGACACATCTCGTCGCCGTGGATGCTTCGATCCCTCTGGATCGCACGTAAAATGCCGCTGGCAATGCGGTCTGATCCTGGTACATCGATGAAGGAACCGTATAAGCTGGCACCAGGTAGCTTCCTCGCCTGGCCCTCTGCGATGCTTGACTGTAGTTGGATGTTCCGTCGCCCGTGGGCAAGCGTTAACCAATTAGTCAGCCATAAGCCGGACTGCTGAGATACTCGATCTGTGGCGAAAGAGACGGTCGCAAGCAAGACAGACGCGCCTCTCACCGCCGCAATGCTTGAGTCGGTTATGCCGCCAATGGCTTGGCGCAGTGTGCGTAATGCTTGGTCTCGGTAGAGGTAGATGGGAAGGGACCGAAGGAGATCTGGTTCCGTGCAGCCGAGATGAACCATGGCCACGAGGAGAATGGCGTCCATGAGAAACTCATGCTGGTAGGCAAGGCGCGGAAGCTCGACCTTCAATATTGAGGCGATATCCTGTGAGAATTCGGCGGCAAAGCTCTCGGCTGTGAAGACGCAATAATGGTGCATCGTACGGAGATCGAGAAGATGCTTTGCGCCATAGTTAGACCCCGCGGGCGTCTCATCGATAGACGGTGCGGCCAACAATGGCTCAGCGGCACCTTTCGTTTCGGAAAAGGCAGCGGCAGTATCTGAAGCAGGACTACTTCGGCTCTGGGCCGTCGCTGGGCGGCTCGAAAAGACATATAAGCAGTCTTCTCCTCGTCGAGCGCAGCCTGCACACTGCGGCTTGACCTCGTCGCACTTAACATGATGCCATGTTAGTCTCGGTCAGGGCTGGGGTGATCATCTGGCTTACCTTGACCCGTCGCAGCTTGCATCCAGCGCAGCCAGTTCGAGACTTGCGATGGAAGCGTATAGCATGCGCCATCGCAGAAACTCGACTGAATTGTCTGTTGTGCTGCGAGGTAGGTATATGTGGTTTAGGGGTTCGAAAATATTTAGTCCAATCCGAGTTAGTCTGGAGGTCAAAATGCAAGACTTACTTCAAGGCTTAGTAAGTAGCTTAGGTAGGCAAATAGTAAGTTAAGTGATATATAAATAAAGGTCAATTACAAAATACGAATTTAAGAATTCTTAATATTATAGATATTATTAAAAAGATAAGTCAGTCAATGATCTCTTAATCATGTAGATTCAACTTAAAAAAGCCTATGTTGGCACGTGACTCTAATGGCATAGCTGACTGTGTGGGTATGACTCCTTGTTGATTGGGCCATCATCCGCTCCTGCCAATAGCACAGCGACAAATGGAGGATGCCTGACATCCTCCACGACTAATCCCTCCGAGTCTCCATCCTGTGATTCCTGTCACTCTTCTTCATTTCAACGCCACAATTTTGTCTTTGACTCTAATGATTGACAATAAACCCGCATCCAATGGCCAATACCCTCCCGCCCGAACTTCTCACCAAAGTGTTTGAGAACATCAATCCATGCGACAATCAGAGATCTACCGTTCATTCTTGTCTGCTCGTCAACAAAGAATGGTACGATGCTGGAGTTCGCTTGCTCTACAAGGATCTCGTGTTCTTTATCGGCCCTCAACTTGATCTTTTCATAGCCTGCCATGACCGATGGGCTGTTTCTTCCCTAACGCGGTCTCTTACTCTCTACATAAATTGCCCACCTGAAACAACCGGAGGCTTCGACCGCGACACTCACGATTCCTTCCTTCAACTTGCGGCGGCCGTGATTCCACGAATGAACAATCTGAAGTCCTTTTCTCTAGCGCGCCATTACCGAGATCCGTTTTCTTTCATCCAAACGCGGATCGTCTCAGCCCTTCTGAGAAGCATTCCGCCGAATTGCACAAGCCTGGAGCTTGCGTTGGGTACCTCGGATAACATCAATTACGACCTCAATGGACCTAGTCCTCATCTTTGCGAGGATTTACGCCACCTCCTGCCCCGTATGCAACACGCGCATATCGATATGAGCTGTTTGTGCGATGCGATTTTTGGCACTTGGAACTCCGATAATTGCTTTCATCCCATTGCTCTTCCGAATTTGCAGCGCCTCCACGTTCCTTGCGTGGGTACGCAGCTCAAGTCAGCGTGCTCAGAACGATATCAGCAGGATCAGTGGTCAATTTGGAAATCGATCATCAGGGCCCTGCAGCTGGTAGTTGAGCTACCAGATACCGCTGACGCAGACATCACCGTCTTGGGCTCAGTGGCGCCGTTGAGCTCCTACAAGCTGCACATCTACACAACACTCTTACGCTGTCAAATAAAAAGAGGACGAACTACGACTTGGGCTTTCCCGGCAACCCCATACGTAGTTAAGGGGGCCGCCCAAGGTCAATATTGGAAGTTGAGGCTCGTCTATATACGTCTGAATGGCGAGACGTACATGACTGACAAAAAATGGATCTACGCGTTAGCTGCCGGTCGGCCATGGAGGGTATCAAAGACAGACGCGAGGTTACCTGCATCTTGTAATGCAGACTGGGTGGCGGACGAGAAGCTTAAGATCAAGACCTGGGAGGAGTGGGAGAAGGCGAAAATAGGGGAAGGGCCCATGTTGCTGAAGAATGAGAAACTTGCGGGGATGAGACTTATAGATGCAGAGGAACGTGAGGGCTATGAAGAGGTCTGCCTGGTGGAGAAAACACCGCCTGGGTTTGTCAGACCAAGTCGCTATCACCACGGCCAGCTTTTCAGGGTAAAAGAAGGATAATTATTGTGTACTACTTGCCCTTGATCGTAAATGACAAAACGACTTGGGTAACTTAGCCTAAGTTTAGGATACCTTCACTAAGCCTAAGATACCTTGACTAGGCTTAGGATATCTGTGCCAAGTTTAGAATACCTTTGCTGAGTTTAATTTAGCACCCTGTAGCAAGTCTCTTATTTTCTTCAAGTTTTGAGCAAGGACAGTCCATGAAACTAATTATTAATTACGACTTAACTCAAGAAACGTGATCCAACTAGCCAATTCACCGTGAGCGAGCTTCCATCTCGAAATGTCCTAGTTGCTAAGAACAGGGGATTGTTCGTCCCACTCGCTGCTTTCAGCTGCATCGACAAGCCACTTCCCAACAGTCCCCCTAGTAATCTTGGGCATCCAAGCGCAGCCCTTTCCATCATCAGGCCAAACCTTGACAGGCTGTGCTTCACCCTCCCCAAGCATAACAGGTCGAGAAAGAACAAAAGTCAGTCCACTATCTCTGACCAAACGGTCAACCTCGTTGTGATCCTTGAGACCAATACCCATGCTTCCGTGGCTGAAGATCATCTTTCCCGGGAGATTCATAGAGCGCCAGGATGATCCAGCGCCTTGAGCTGAGTTAACCACGATCTTGGGGTAGATATTGGTTTGAGAAATAGCGGCAAGCAGAGCACGCATGCTCGCAGCTAGGAAATCAGGTGTAGTGTCCGGGTGAAGAGCTGCAAAAGGCGACTCTGTGACTCTGACCTGTGCAAGAGCTGAGATGACTACTTGCGGAGGCTGAGGTGTTGTAAGACCCTTGACGATGTCTGACACTGAAGTTGGTGTACCCTGAACAAGGGTGAGGTTGGAGTGCGAGGGGAGTTTAGCCGAGTTTGTGTTGCGGACGAGGGCTGTGACTGTGTGGCCACGAGATAGAGCCTCTTGAACAGCTAGAGAGCCGTTGCGGCCTGTTCCACCAATGAAGAGGAAGTGCATTTTTGAAAGGGTTATGGTGGAGAAGCGGTAGTTGGCGTTGAGTGGGGTAGATCTGCGTAGATCACAGATGCCAAGCGAGGATGAGGATGATGGAAGGCAGGAGACTAAGTGTTGGAGTTGAATGTATTTAAGATTCTTGAAGAATTTGCTGGAGGAGTTGATTGTCTGTGAGTGAATGATGAGTCAAACCTACAGCGTGTCGCATCCTCAGTCTTTATAGCAAATTCCCCTCCCATCCCTCCCGGCCGAGAGTTTCGGCCCCGATATCTCAGCCGGGCGTTTGATTACGGCTATGCGAAAACTGCGCCGCAGCTTAGAAATCAGCACTAATGAGTCCGAGCATTACAGCGGGCGCATAAGTAAGCGACCTAGCCTATAGAAAATGATTCAGAGAGTGTGCTAGCCCAAGGCAGAGGCAGTGCTGACTGTTCGCCGGCCGAGAAGGAATGGATATCGGCCGGATGGATCGACTCGGCCGGTCCAAGAGGGGTCTTGGTCAACATGATTGGCTGAGACGGATGTGAGCGGCACGATTGTGTGAGAATGAAAGGGATTTTTGGCAAAAGACCGACGCCGCAGGGAAATTACCGCAGCATGAGGGTGATTTGGTCAGACGATGGTGGGAGGATTGGGAGGAAGGGTGGCTGAGAGGTTGTGTATATATAGGAGGTCATGGACGAGGTGGTGATGCATCAGAAACCCATCAATCATACCAACCTCACACCCCATCTATACCTGCTCTTAGAAAGCCAAAGCAACACTATATTATATATATTTTCAACTCAAAGTCTGCCTTCTTCCCTTATCCAATACCAATATGTCATCCTCACAGGTCGCCATCATCGGAGCAGGCCTCTCAGGTCTCGCCCTGGCCCTCGCTCTGCACCAACAAGGCATACAAGCCACTGCCTACGAGCAACAAAGCGCACCCCTCGACATCGGCGGCGCAATCATGCTATCTCCAAACTCCCTCAGAGCCCTAGACAAGCTCGGCGTCTTTGAACGCATGCTCCCCAAGTCCTACAAATTCCAGGACTTGTACTTTTACTCCCAAGACGATAAACTCGTTGACGTCTTTGAGTTTGGCAATCAGGAGAAATACGGATACTCTGGTATTCGCGTTTACCGATTCGAACTCATTAATGTTCTTCTTGATCTTGTTAAAGAAGCGGGTATCAAGGTTGAGTATGGGAGAAAGTTTGAGAGTATTGTTCGTGAGACGGAGGATAGCGTCACGTGGCGCTTTACGGATGGGCGTGAAGAGACCGCCAGTCTTCTTGTTGGCGCGGATGGTATTCACTCTCGTGTGAGGAAGTATCTCTATCCAGAGCTTGAACCAAAGTTCACCAACATGATCGGCGTCACAGCTGCGGTTCCAGCGAAGCAACTCAAGTTGGAGAACAATGAGTACAAGCTTCCTGCTACCTTCATGCATGACAAGCGCGGCGCCTTCGTCATTGCACCGCAGTTGGCTGATGGCTCGGAAGTTCTTATCGGAAAGCAAAAGGTCTTTGTTGGTGAAGATCCAGGCCGTGATGCTTGGAAGGCTATGAATTCTGATAAGACGTGGTGCGTTGACTTTCTCCGCGAAGGCAACGAGGACTTCCCCGCCATCGTTGCAAATTCAACCTCAGAGATTTCGCCCAACAGAGTCAATTTGTGGCCGTTTTATCTCCTCCCCAAGCTTGAGACATGGGCTTCCAGCGCCAAGCACGGCCGCGTCGCTATTCTCGGTGATGCAGCACACGCTATTCCCCCCACTGCCGGCCAAGGTGTGAACCAGGCTTTTGAGGATGTATACACATTCGCTGGTGTTCTTGGTCAATTGAACGAGAAGAACAGTGAGGGTCTTAGTGATGCTCTTGGACGGTGGCAGAAAGGGAGACAGGAGCGTGTTGATAAGATCATTGAGTTGAATAATGAGATCAACAAGAGGAGGATGCCTAAGCAGGCTGATGTTGAGACCAAGCCGTTTGATATTGACTGGCTGTACTCGGTTGATTTGGATCAGATGGTGCGAGACTTTGTTAGTGGTAATTAAGAGAGGTGATTTGACGGGGACGTGTATATTGGGTAATATTAGTGTTATGGAAAGGCTGCTGCAGTGAACTAGGGCCAAGGCGAGCTCTCAGGCTGGTAATGCGATGGCAAATATTAATATATTTCTACATTATCCCCGCGCCATAACTCTTTTTCTAATCTTTTGTCCCTACAAGAGGGCGCGGTGTTGCACATTGACGTTGCCCAGAACCACCGTCTTGATCTGTAGGTAATCCTCGATGCCGTACTTGCTTCCCTCGCGACCAAGACCCGAGTGTTTGACTCCGCCGAAGCTGAACCATAATATTAGCTTCCTGCTCGATCCCAGCGCCTAGAAGACGATCAGAGGAAAGGGTAACTTACGGAGCAGCAGCGTCAGATACAACGCCACTATTCACTGCGACCATGCCGAATTGAAGCTGTTCGGTGACTCTCGTTGCTCGGTTGAGATCTTGTGTGAAGATGTAAGAGGCCAGACCGACATCGCATTTGTTGGCGACCTGTATGATGGCTTCTTCTTCATCGAAGCTGAAGACTGGGGCTACGGGGCCGAAGATCTCCTCGTCTACAACGCGCATGGAGGTTTCCACGTTGCTGAGAATCGTTGGGTCGAAGAAATTGGGGCCTATTGAGATGCAGATGAGGTCAGTGAACCTGACGATGAGAGAACCAACAAGATGGGCGCGACTGTGATGCATCTTACCTTGATCCTTAAGGGCTGAACCGCCGCACTCGACCTTCGCACCACCTTGTACCGCCTCATTTACGAGACCTTCAAGTCTTCGAACAGCCGCCGCAGATATGAGAGGTCCATGTGTGGTCTTGGCATCAAACCCAGACCCAACCTTGAACTTCCCGACTTCCTCCCTCAGCCTCCTCAAAAACTCATCATAAACCCCCTTCTGTACAAAGATGCGGTTCGAGCACACGCAAGTCTGGCCCGAAGACTTGAACTTACTCGTCACGGCTGCTTTCACAGCAACGTCAAGATCTGCATCGTCGAACACTATGAAGGGAGCATTACCACCTAGCTCCAGACTCATCCTCTTTAAGGTCCCGCTAGATTGGCTCATAAGAAGCTTACCTACGCGTGTTGAGCCTGTGAAGGAGATTTTGCGAACAATATTGGAGGAGCAGAGGGTTTGGCCGATCGAGGGGGTGTTAGTATCTGCGGTGATGGAGTTGACAACGCCGGCTGGGAGTGAGGTACGGGAGAGAAGAGAAAGAAGCGCATTGGCCGTGAAGGGTGTTTCGAAGGCGGGTTTTAGAATCGAGGTGCAGCCGGCGGCGAGGGCTGGAGCGAGTTTCCGAGCAATCATAGCGGCTGGGAAGTTCCATCTAGACAATGGCCTCAGTAATGCGATTGGAGAAAGGATGTGTTGGTGACGGAAACACCATGATTGAGATTAGGGACCAAAGGCAACCTACGGTGTGATGAGGCCGCATACGCCAATGGGCTCTTTCAAAGTAGAGACCCTGAAGCTCGACTGGCTGTGGGAGATGACATCGCCATAAATCCGTGGCGCCTCCTCGGCAAACCACTCAATGAAGCTCGCCGCGAAGAGAACCTCCCCAGCTGCATCGGCCTTGGACTTGCCGTTCTCCAACGTAATGAGCGTCGCCAGGTCGTCCTTGTTCTCCAGGACCAACTCGTACCAGTGTCGCAGAATCCTTGAGCGGTTCCGTCCTGTAGCTGATCTCCAGACTGGAAGAGCGGCTGAGGCGGCTCGAATGGCCCTCTCCGCATCTTCGGGGGTTGACTCGGGACATGAGCCGATGGTCGAGCCCGTCGCAGGGTCTGGGGTCAGATGTCAGTCGACAGCTTTTCAATCTGGGACAAGGAACACGGTCGAGATGGATACAATTGCTTACCATAGACCTTGAAAGTCTTTCCTGAGACGGAGTCTACCCACTCATTGTTGATGAAGTTCTTCTGAATCAAGAGAGAAGGATCCCTCAGCTGGGGTACTGCGTTGGCCATATTGACAGGACTGTGTTGTGATGAGATTCTCAGGGCTTTCGAATTTCCGACACCGACTCAAGAAGAAGTGACGAGATACAGAGCCAACTATCATCTTCGTAAAAGGATCTCGTCGCCATCTAGATACATTGGATTGGGCCTGGGCCTGGGCCCCGGCCCCGCTGCCGAAATGTTGAAGTGGGTCTCCGGTCTGGTCCCTGGAGCTGAAATAGGAAATGCACGCCTCGCCTTGCGTTGCCCACTATCTCTCTTGACGAGATCTGGCCACAGCTTCAAGCTCCAAATGTGGGGGATGATACGTTATCATCGGCTTCCAGGAAATGCGATTCAGACCTCCGCCCCACCCTTATCGTACTCGAGAATGGGAAGAAGATCACCGCAAACAACAGCCCCATTTGTTCTGGGGGTTACGTGCGGAGTCTATCGATCTCCGCTAGTAGGGAATCAAACATTGCGTCGCCAGTGGTTACCAGAAGGAGCGAGGAATTGAGGAGCATCAGGCATCCGCACCCATGCTGTGCATGATACGTACCATACCCTCCGACCTCTCCGTAGAAGTCCGCGATGGATTTTGTGGTTGAAAAGCCGCCCAAGCCATATTGATGCGCCATCGCTGGGAGGCAAATCTTTGTTAGTTCCATCAAAATATTGCCCTTTCTGCCGGGGAACTCAGACATTGCACAAACCTAGTCTCCTAAACCTGATAGCCAACACCATGTCTACAAGCACAACACAGACTGAAGGGCGAAAGCTCGACGCTACAGTCTCCTTGCTTCCTACTCAGCAATCGACGACTGCAGCGACATCAGGTACTATCCCAGCCTCCCTAGCCACTGGCGGATACGAGTTCCCCGGCATTCCCAAGTTCACCGACCTGTACAAGAAGCGCCAATGGCAGCTCGAACACATGGCCGGCGCGTTCAGGGTGTTTGCCAGGAAGGGGTTCACAGAAGGCACAGCTGGACACATCTCTGTCCGTGACCCTGTCGAACCGGACACCTTTTGGATCAACCCGTAAGTCAAATACACGCAAACTCTTGTTGTTTCTAGGAAAGGTGTTCAAGCTTGCTGATACGAGCAAATCAGCCTTGGCAAGCACTTCGGCATGCTCAAGGCCAGTGACATGGTTCAGATCAACGAAGAGGGCCAGGTCATTGGCGGCAACAGAGTCGCAGTCAATGCCGCGGGCTTTGTCATCCACAGCGCCATCCACAAAGCCCGCCCTGACGTCCATGCCGCCTGTCATATGCACTCTCGCTTCGGAAAGGCGTGGTCTGCGTTTGGAAAACCTGTCGACATCATCAACCAGGATGCCTGTCTCTTCTACGGCATTCAAGCAGTTTACGACGACTTTGGCGGAGTTGTGATCAGCAAGGACGAAGGGAAAAAGTTGATCGAGTCATTGGGGGACAAGGGCAGGGTCATCTTCCTCCAAAACCACGGACTGCTGACAACCGGCGGGACGGTCGATGAGGCTGCATACTTGTTCACCGCGTTGGAGAGGACCTGCGAGGTGCAGCTCATGGTCGAGGCGGCCGGGTTAGAGAAGAAGACTGTGAGCGATGAGGCGGCTGAGTTTACCCACAGGGTGAATGCTGATCCTGTAAGTTTGGTTCCAGATTCTGAAGAGAACGTGACTTTTGTTCAGTGTATTCAAGCTAACGATATGCCATAGGAGACACTGTACACCGAGTTCCAGCCTGACTTTGAATATGAGATTTGGAAGTCCAGGGGCGAGTTGAGCAAGGGAGAACAATTCTGTGCATAATTGAGGGTAAGATAAGCAGATAACTTAGGACACACATGCGGCCTTGCACGTCAACCTGTAACTTCCGGATCTGTAACAACAGCTATGATATGCATCTCTATGCTGGTACTGGCAACACTACGATGTCAGGAAACGGACAGAGCTCAGAAGAAGCTAGATTCACGAACTCTTTATCCATTGTATTATGATCTTATCTATCTATAGGGGTTGTCTTCATCGAAATTGGGCGCCCACCCTCGCTTCTCCTTCAAGACCTTCAACTGTAACCCCTTCATGATCCAACACATAACCCTCAACGTCAGTATCGCAATCCGTATTCTGATTGTGCAATCTCTATCCCATATCTCATGTTGGTAAGCAAGAAGTCAGCCTGTGGACAGGGCAAGTCTTGTCTTCAAATCATGCTTGAAGTGTTATTTGCCGCTGAGACCTGTGGCTGAGAGCTTAAACCAGCCGAGAGAACTTAGTTATCAAATCATCGCAGTCTTAATAACTTCGAAAATATCTACAGGCGGCAGACAATACCTGCCTTCAAGTCTTTCACAACCTCACCGGCCGCCCGCTCACCACTACGCACCGCGCCCTCCATGTACCCCTTCCACTCGCCAGCCGTCTCTGTGCCAGCAAAATGCAGGTCTCCAGCTGGCTGCCTGAGGCTATCTCCGCCCACTGTGTCAAGAAGACCAGGCGGCAGAGCTGTGCAAGGGCATCCAAAGCCAGACCACTCATCTCCGCTCCATTCGTAGTACGTCAGCGAGACGAACAAGTCCTCGATGTTGTTGACGCCGTAGAGACTCGTGAGCTGTTTGAGCAGCGCAGCCTCTTTCTCAGCTTGGCTCGGGAGGGCACCCCATGTGCGGCCGTGGTCTGCTGCCATGAAGCAGGTGAGGATATGCTTATTGCTCTGCGGATCCGAAGTATCGCGAACGACTGCCGCAGGGCCTGTGAAGGAGTTGATGAGGCCGCACATTCCGGCTTCGACCCAGAACGGCGACTTGAACTCCATCATTGCTTTGGTGTAGTATCCGTAGGACAATGACTCGGCCCACAGCTGCTTGACGGGGGGCAGCTCGGGGTAGAAGGATATGGATCTGAGGGCAGGCCCCGGCACAGTCGTGATGACCTTGCGAGCTGAGATGACTTTGCCTGACGAGGTCTGCACGAGAATGGAGCCAGCCTCGCTGTTCTGGACGATGGACTTGACCGGCGTTGAGAGACGCACCGTATCAACTGGGAGACTTGAAGCAAGGCC